AAAGTGACACATTTTTCCTAAAACACCATAATCATCTTTTTTAATACCTCCTCTCCCTCTTCTATTTGATTATGGTTGAAGGAGTATCTATAGAGGTAATTTAGAGAAAATTGATAAATATGATAAATGGGTCTTATATTTAGGACCAAAACCAACTCAAGAATTGGGTCCTATATTAAAGACCGGAGGAGTATTAACTAACTAACATATTTCAAAATTAATTAAACTTTTAAATCTTTAGAAAAATTGAAATCATATGCCAAGAATAAGGCATGGCTAAAAGGTGCAATAATAGAAGGTTATTTAGGGGTTGAGGTTCTAAATTTCTATTGAAGGAACTTTGATGACATTAAGGCTTTTTTCAACTGCACACCTACCTCATGATGATGATGGTCTTGAAGTAGGTCTGCCCATAGCAAACACTTTTTCCTAGCTGTGGGAAAGGCAGTTAGAGGATTTCAATACTATAAGCTTACCCTAACTAAGAAATTGCAAACACATAAGCATATCCTAATAAACAGCAATAAAGTTGATCTCTTCATTTAGTAACCATTATACTCACTTCCTATACTAATACTATAAATTTCCTTTACACAAACTCTTCTAAAAAATTACAATTAGTTCTAGGGAATTCAGAAGTCTTCTCAAGCACCAATTATGAAGCTGGACAAAAAGCCCATGAAAAATTCCATCCCAAATACTTAATAATGACCACAATGCTTACTTACCACTTGATTATAGAAATCTTACAATTGGTCCACTTGAATATGCAAGAAGATTTACTACACATGATGTCAATGGGTTCAAATTATGCCCGATTACATGTGATCAAGGTTCAATCACATAAAACTCAGGAGTTTTTGGCACATTCGAGACAAGGAGTTATGCTAGGATTAGTGACAGTGACATGCAATTTGGAAATGCTCCTTATTATAGAATGCTAGTTAATATCATTAAATTAAATTTTAAAGACTGTTTCACCATACCCCCCTTCAAGTGTCCTTAGGCAAATACGACAACTTTATGGGAACTCAATATTGATGACTTGGGTATCATATCTATAAATTTCTCTATGCTCATTCACAGTAGTGAATTCGTAGATCATGAGTCATACATTATTGCCTTAGAGGCGCATCGGGTTTACTACATGGAAGATGAAAAACATAAAGATTAAAGTATAGTGGTTCATTTAAAGCCTAGACATCTTTATGACATGGGTGATGGTAACTACATCACCTACAAGAGTAAGCTCTTCCAACTAATTAATTTTGAAAGCCTCTTTCCTAAAGGGATGACAATTTAGCAATTGTTAGGTTTGTAGTTTTAAACTCAATTTCTCATCATTACATATTAATTAACAATTATTTCTTATTTAATCAATCTTAATTTTTCCTTTTTTCTAGCATTTTCTTTTATACATTTTTGTAAAATTAGTAGCATCATTAATCATGAGGTAGTGGTTCTTGTAAATTACTGCTAAACTGTTTGCAACACATGATTTAGTAACGTTTGCTAAACTACTACTAATGCTCTTGAAGCAGCAGTTAGAACTGCTACTAACACAACTATTTAACTGTTACTAATAATCCACAATTTTTTTGTAGTGTATATTGTAAATGTTTATTAACATATTTCTTTTAAGGAAAACAAGTTTATTTTGCAAGTAGCTGAGATTTGATGTTTAATGGCTAATTCACCTACCAAAGCTCGCTTCTTTCTGAAACATTAAATACACACAGGACATTCATGTGAGGACTCCAACATGAAGATTAATGAGTCTAACGACTAGATTAATGTGTCTAACAAATTATCAAGCTTCAACTAGCTATACATATATCTACATTCAAGACAGAAGGAAGATTTGAGAAGAAGAGACAATAGGAGGACACGATGCACAAACGAGCTTACACAATCTTTTGCATTTTCTGTTCTTAATACTCTAAGCTACTCACTTGCACTTCAATGCATATTAGCATCAAATCCTATTGTGATAGTTTGATATTGTAATATTTATCACTCCGGAAGGGTTACTCAAGGTTGCCGGATCTTGAGAGGATTTCTTGTTACCTTATAAGCCACAAGGGGAAGAGATTGACAAACGCATTCTATAGATTGTTGTACTAATGCATTAAAAGCCCGATTGATTCTTAGGGAGTTTAATGGTTTAGAAAATCTCAAAAGGAGGTGCTTAGGGACTAGACATAGGTTAGTGGAGGGGCCAAACCAAGATATAATATAGGAGCTTAATTAATGAATTTTAATCTTATATTTTAATTTCTTATTATTGATTTAGAAGTGGAACAAAAAGCATCTTCACAATTTTAAATTATATATAAAAAACCATGATTATGTTGAATCAATAATATGATAAGTATTATATATGTTTAATAATAAACTTTTTCCTTTATTACTCCTAAATAATGATAAATATATGTATAAGTAATTGCAAAAGCAGTATGATATCATCTCTTTTGGCTAAAAGCAATATAAATAATGTCATTCTTTGCATGTTGGTGCTTTTAATAATTCCACCGATTGCGTCGTCTTTTTCCTCAAACATATATTCTATCCTCTTCTGCTGCCCATAGGAGCATTCCGCATCATAAAGCCAGGAGTTCATGAATACTGCCAATTATTAAGGAAAACTTACACTCAGGTCCCATATAAGACAATTAATTTCAAAAAAATCCCAAAAAATCCCGAAATGATTCTGAAGTCCCCAATGACCTGTGTGTAATTAATTGTAATTGTGAAATTACTTATTTACCCTGTTGATTTTATTGCAACAATTCATTTACAACCTCAACAGTGGCTGTTGACAACCCGAGAAGAAGTGGTTAACAACCTCGGCAATGCCACTGACAACTCACAGAGTGAGTTGTCAGAACACTGCCGAGGTTGTCAACCACTTCTTCTCGGGTTGTCAACAGCCACTGTTGAGGTTGTAAATGAATTACATTGGGTTCAAATTAATGGGGTAAATAAGTAATTTTACAATTACAATTAATTACACAAGGTCCTTAGGGACTTAGGAATCATTTCGGGATTTTCAGGGACTTTTTTTAAATTAATTATCTTTTGTGGGACCTGAGTATAATTTTTCCAATTATTAACAACCCTGCCTTTTAACTTTGGCTCATCTATGAGTTCCTGAATAAATGTGGGAACAAGGATCCCTTATCTGATCAGGCAAGAATATATCACCCATTTAAGTTTCGTGTTTTCTTAAAAGTTATTTATTTATTTTTTCAAGAATGTCGGGGTTATGTAGCAGCATGAAACACGAGGTCCCCCTATCTTCTCATGCACGTTTTGTTTTTTTTAAAAGAAAGTTATTATGTTTAATTAAAGACTAAAATTACTAGTTTTCTTTATAAAATAAGGACATTAAATTTACGAATTTATTTTGTAAGACCAAGGTTTTTTAAAGTGAAAAGAATATGTAATGACTAAATGTTTATGAAACAGAAAATTCGCATCGTTTAATAATTAATATGGAAAATTTGGTACTATAACACAAATGATATTTAATTGTCGCATTTACTGTGAAAAATTCTCTATATGTGAGACTATGATATTTACCTTGTGTTGGCTGCTGGGAAAGAAAGAGACAAAAATATCTCTGACATGTACGTAAATCTCAATTGAGAATCTCGAAATGGCATAATCAATATGAAGTTGTTATGGACTATTTGGGATTAAATTTTGTAGCGAAGCTATTGAAATGCCCTTAATTTATAAGATATATATACTTAATTTATAACACACACACACACACACACACGAAATCACAATCATTTAACAAATAATAACTTTAATTCATCAAAATAACAAGAATAATTAAGGCAATGGCAACTTATTTTGAAAACTTTCCTATTGAATAATAATGACAGTAACAATTTTTAACAAGTAATATCTTAACTTACTAAACACTACCTCTGGTAATTAATATAAAAGTTAGTTGACTCATTTGAGTAGATTAATAAAATTTATTAAGTTAGTTATTTATAATGAATAGGTATTGTCTTTCTTAAAATACCCTTGTTAATCGTCTATATTAATTAAAACTACCATTTGATAGAATCTTTAGCATGTGTAATTATTACAAGCACTATTTTGAAAAAAATAAATAAATATAAGAAAGAAAGTATATTTGAATTTTATATTTAGGATCAAATTAAAAGTCAAACTAATTCTTATACGAAGGACTAGAGGTAATAGCAACAATTGAAGTAGTGACAACTAATTTCATTTAAGGCAATTGGCTAGGTCATTTCTCAAAAAACTTAATTTCATAATAGTTCTTAAGAACTTCAAAGAAATTAAAGTCATTTCGAGAAACCATTTTAAGCTTCACATATTTCGTTGATCTTTAATAATGTTTTTCTCACAATTCTCTGTGTGGCTACTAGTTTTTCTTTTTTTTTTAATTTTTTATATATGACTACTAAATAACGTATCTAAGCTAACGGAATGGTCATTTCAACAACTGCATATATTTTTCGTTTTAGAGAAGTACGTTGGTATTATAAATAATCTAAAAAATTTAGGGCTCTTATCTGTAAATAGCTTGTCATTTTGGTTGTTAAGCATAATTCTTGCGAATTTTATTCAGACATGTATATTATAACCACAGGAAGCGTTTGACATAATTTGACTAAGCGAGACAAGATTCTAATCCTCACAGGGAAGCATGTACCGTACAAGAAGTGAATCTAACTTTGGGGGAAAAAACAAAAGTGTCGGACAAACTCTACCTTATAGAACATTACAACCAGCTGTTATAACTACTTTAGTTAAAGTATATATGAAACCCCAAAAGGAAAGAGTTCACTTCTTCACCCAGCTACAATAATATATGTAACTGTCAGCTTTACTTACCTTTAGCCTTAAGGCTTCTAAATAACCTAAATCCATGCATCGATGTGTATAACTATATATACTATCCAGATCCTTTCCATAAATAACTAAAAAAACGCAGAGAAAGGCACCACGAAAACATGTCGTCTTCTTCTTCTTTCATCTCATCACTTTTGATTCTTCTTCTGATATTGGCCATTCTGTGTGGTGCTGCGTTTTCACAAAACGACGACGTAGGTGATTGTAGCGATGATTTTTGGAAGCTGATGAAGAATAAAGGAAACACCACAAGGTGCAAGAGTCTTAGGACTCTGGGCGCCGAGTTTGGGTGGACCATCCAACTCCGAAACGGCACCAACGGCTCGACGTTCGGCCTCGACATGACGTTCGGCGCCAGCCTAACGAAGGAACCGCCCGCCTGGATAGCTTGGGGGGTGAACCCGGGAAAGCGGCCGGAGATGATCGGAACAAAGGCCATTATCGGCATTATTCCGAACAGCGATAACTCAGGGACAGAGGTAAGGTAACAAAGCGTGCAGTTCCAATGCATGTTGGGCTTGAAAGTATTCGATTTCTTTTTAAATTATACAATTTTTCTTGAATTTTATTGAAATTTCATATGACTATCCATATACATGTGTAAACAGATTAAGGTATTCAATCTTGGTGAAATTAAGCCAGACGTTTATTTTGGTAATTGTTATTCTTTAATTTGTTTATTGGGTGTTTAGTTTGGAGGAGAACAACCGTGATTTTAGATACCTTGAGAAACACGCATGTGACAAATTTACTCTTAGAAATTTTTTTAAGGAGGGTGTGTGTATACATACACAAAAGTTTTAAAAATAAAATAGAGATTTATGCCATTCCTTCAAAATTCAAAAGAAATCTAGCAAAGCTACTATCACTTTTTCCATTTTTAAATTAAAGCTATTGTTTTAAACGGCTGGATATATGGTTAAAATTTGCATCTATTGTGTGCTATTTACCTGCATATAGAGCACAATTGTTATTTACTACTTTCTATCCGAATTATAAGGCCAAGCATGTATCTTCTTACTTAATTTAAAATATAGGATAAAGATGTATGCTTTATTTTTCCAAATCATGCTCCTCACTCAATAGTATTACACCAACCACTATGTTCATGTCGTGTTTTTAATTTTAAGGAAGCACTTTATTGTTGATATTAATTTTACCGGAAGTCATATTATTTTCTTCTAAGTTTAAGAATATACTACTTCCGGTCCTAATTATAAAATATCATTTGTAATATATAAATGAGATCTTATATTTAGGATCCGGGGTAATAAATTATAACTCTTTTAAAAATAGAAAAATTGGAGAAAAATCTTTCATTAAAAATTTTATTAGTGAGAAGGACCTGATAAATTTTTATATATAGAAAGTATTGGTGTCCTGCAAATTTTTTATTCATGGAGTATTGATACTCTAATTTAGTTCATTCTCACTAATAGAATTGCCATTTGGAGATTTTTTTTTCCTAATTTTTCTTTTGAAAATCAAGCGGTAGTTAAATTTACCATATAATTAGAAAAATAAAGGATTACTTTTTCTACCTATCTCTTTTCCCTTCATCATGAAATATTTTATTAAAGGATTCCAATATAATATTGATCACTCATTGTGGTCCAAGGAACTAGTGCTCACGATTATACCGGGCTTTACTCAAGAGTGTTTCTTTACATTACGCTTTTACGATAGTTGATAAGCTGTTTAAATTAAACTTTAACTAACAAAAACTTCATTTATGCTTTCAAAAGCAATCAAATGTGAATTTGCATATAATGAAATCAAATCAAAGTGATTCAACATATTACCTCTAGTCTTTAATATGAGATCTACTCAATTAATTTAGATAAATTAAGGAAACAAATTGAATTAGTTATTTGTTAAAAGTATGTGGTTGTTTAATTTCTCTAAAATATCATCTTAAATCATTTGCATTGAAAATACTCCTTGAAGAATGAAGTGATGATTTTTGGGAAAAAAAATGATAAGTATTGGAAACAAAATGAACTGAAATTTTATATTCAGAATAAAATTTAACCCCAACTATATCAATTAAATTAACAACGAGAGGTAATATATTGAGATTGTGTGCATATTTTGAAGGTGAGAACGTATGAGATTACGAAGGAGACGAGAATGGGATGCCACCTGGGACCATCCGAGAATCTTGCAGGGGTGCAAGTTGGGAACACGTCAATAGCGTACGATCAAGCGAGTGGTCTGTACACAATCTCCGCAAGGCTGGAGCTTAATTCCACCATGTACAACAAATCGAGGCTGAACCATGTGTGGCAAATTGGGGAGAAATTGAATGACGATAATAACCCTCAGAGCCACCCAACCACCTTGCGTAATGTTGATAGCACGGAGACCATTGACTTGGATACCGGCCACAGCTTTGGACAAAACAGGGCTCTCCTAAGAAAGGTAAAAATATTTTATTCAAAGTTGTGTTTGTTAATTAGTTAGCTATAATTAGTTTGACTATGTTTCAATTATTCCTCCAGTGTTAAATATAAGACTCATTTTATAATGTAAATTACATTATAAAATGTGTCTTATATTTAAAATAAGAAGAGTAATTTAAACATAAAAAGAATTATATATAATCAAGTCCCAAGGAAGGGATTTAATTGTCTTAAAGTCCAATGACAAGTGAAAAATAAGCAATGACAAGTGAAGAATATGGAATGATAATAGGTTCAGACTGATCACTTGTTATTGGAACTTTTTGATAATTAAACTTCTTTCTTAAGACCTTCTGGTAATTCTTCCTTAAACATATGAATCATCTCAAACTCAAATGCTCTTTTGTTATTTAAGTATTTTTCGTACATTTTATTTGATTTCGTACAATATGATTCATACTTTTTCCCAATTTTTTTATATTTATCATATTATTTTTTAATATTATAAAAAAATTGTGTCCTTAAGAATTGTCTAAGTATTTATCTATCTTATGAATTGCATGAAGAAAGATATTTTATAAAGAGAAAATTCAACCACATATCTTTATAATTTACCTCAATATTGAATCAGGTTTTATAATTTATTTTGTTGGAATTGAACCCTTATAGTTTGCCTAGTTATGAGTCACTCAACCTTGAGTATGAAGCTTGTTCATTATAATTTAATTTATAGAATTGCATGTCCTTTATGGAATTGTTTTTCATCTAACACCATTTTTAACATCCATTTATTTTTATAATTGAAATTTAATGTAGTTTATAGATTAAAATTACTGTAAAGACGTGATTAAAATAAAATAAATTGTAGGGACTTAATTTAAAATTAAGGTAAACTATATATTATTAATTAATTGTGTGCGCAAGTTGTTATATGTAATGCAAGATATAAACGACAAGTCGTTTTAATTGGAATGAAGATACATGGAGCTTTGAACATAGCTGGATGGGGAACCTTTCTGCCCATAGGAGTGATTGTGGCGAGGTACTTCCGAGTGTATCCGTACCATTTCGATAAATGGTGGAAGTACTTGCACGTTGGCTGCCAATCTGCAGGCTTCATCATAGGGACTTGCGGATGGGCTATTGGACTCTGGCTTGGCCACGCCTCCAAATATTACAGCTTTCAGACTCATCGCATTTTTGCCATCTTCATCTTCACTTTCACCACCATCCAAGTATCTCTCTCTCTCTCCCTCTCTCTCTCTAAATATAAAATTTGTCCATGTGGATTTAGGACTAGAGGTAGTATATTGTAGGGCTTTTATGTAAAGTCCTACTTCACTACAAATTAGATACTTTTCTCTAGTCCTTAACGTAAGATTTAATTAATTAATTTGAGTAGATTAATAATATTAGTTAAATTAGTTAATATGATTTTTTTCCTAAAACACTCTAATGTTTTTTCTTAATTCCTTTCGTCCCTCTCCTACTTGATTATTATTGAAAGAATATCAATAGATTTAATTTTACAAAAAAATCAATAAATATATAAAATAAGTCTTACATATAAAACCAATATCAACCTCAAATTAGATTATAAATCAAGGATCGAAAGAGTATTGTGCCTAGGACCAGAGATAGTATATTATTTTACACTACAAATTACATCTTATACTTAAGGCCAGAGATAGAATAAACATAAGCTCAAATTTTACTACTAATGTGAGTAAACATGCATTTTGTTGGTAAATCTGTATTTTGGAAATAGAATTGAATTTTCATCGAACCAAGCTTGGTTAGCTTAAGATGCCAAATATATATATATATTGGTGGGACGTGGGATGTGAGTGTGTAAAATCTATGTTCCTGGGACTTTCCATCATGATTATTTTTATTTTGTTAAATATTATATTTAGGGTAAATTACCTATACAAACTTAATTTTAACTTTGATGAAATTATATAAATTAACTAGCTAGACCCGGCCCGCATGTTTTATATGGATCAGAGTCTGAGGTAACCTGTATCATTAACATTTTACAAAGAGCATGACTTTCCAAAGATTTTATCAAGATTCAAAAAATCGAAGTGATCATTGAAGAACAAAGGTTAAGTCCTTGCTCCCAAAAATCATCATTTTCTCTTTCTTTCATACTTTCCAATTAAAAAACTGCTTCACTTCGGTTTTTGTCAAGATTCTTCTTGAGTTCTCTTTTAGCGTAATTTCTTTTTCTTTTTTTGAAATCTTCTCCGCTATTTTACTTGTTCTTCTTCCGGCTAAGCCTTCCTCTTATTTTCCAAATTTCACGTGTGATTTGTAAAAGTATAAAGGTGAACCGGATAAGCTGTCAGCCTAACAGGTAATCAGTGGTGACACCAGGTTGCGTCGGTTCACATTGATTTCCCACCTGTCCAGGAGCTAAACCATACCGAACAAATAGCTGATTTACTTATTTCCAGTTTGAACTAGCTAGCTTAATTTGGTTTTTTGAACCATAGATTTCATAGTGATCGGTAATTTTACATATTTTATTGAAATTAAATCACACATAATGTACACTATAGGTTCAAGCAAGTGTACAATAAGCTTTCATTTCTCTTAAACAAGAAGTGCATTTCAAGGAATGTTAGGATATGTTTTGGAAATAAAAATGATGCTTGTATAAACTCGCTTGATGAGTATTGTCTGTTTCTGATCAGATGTTTGCATTGCGGTTAAGGCCGACCGAAAAAGATGAGTACCGAAAATATTGGAACATGTACCATCATTTCCTAGGGTACGGACTACTGGTGATCATAATCATGAACATCTTCAGAGGCATTCACATTCTCCAAGCTGGCCAGGGATGGAAATGGGCTTACGTTGGAATTCTTGCTTTTCTTGGTGCCATTACATTGGGTTTAGAGTCATATACTTGGCTCAAGTTCTGTGTTCACAAACAAAACCAGCAGAAAAAGAAGACGACCGAACCTGAAGCAGGAGCTGAAGACAAACCCGCCAAGGCATGAAACAAATCATTTATGTTTTTGGTCTCTCTCTCTCTCTCTCTCACACACACACACACATCCCCACCCACCATGAGCATTTTTTTATGTATTTATTTAAATATACATGATTTTCTGAATGTTGTATGTTTTCTAACTTGTTTAATTTGAAATAAGAACATGTTTTGTTTATTTCTTATTGCACGATGAGAGAGATACGACTTTTTTTAATTTTCTTAAACAAAATTAATTCCTCGGTTCTTAGGGTTTTATCTGATTTTTAATTGGGTTCTTGTAATATTTTTATTTGATCATTACAGTTTTCTCAATTATAGGCATTAGTGCTTGCATTCATAATGTGTTAATTAGTGATGATATGAATATTGACTAAGAAATATATAAAGCCGCGCAATATATGAAACAAAAGATTTTTTTTAAAAAAAATAAGATGATGGAATAATATTTATTTACTATGAGCAAAAAAAGTATAAAAAATTATTATGTTCAAAATGTCCCTTGCAAATATATAATCTTAATCTCATCAATTTTGAATAGCTGAGTCACATCATCAGCTATTAACTTTGTTTTTTTGTTTTTTTACAAATTAGCAAATCATGAATATAAGAACTAATACCTAAATTTGAGAAAGCCATAAAAGATCTAATAAAAAAACTACTAGAACTTAATAAAAAATGAGGTAAAATTATAGAGAAATGCATATTAAGTTTTCCTTGTTAAATATTTTTGTATTTATAGTTAAAACTTTTAACCTTTTTGTTAATGAAGTATAATTCCAAAAAATATTCAAAATCTCGAGTGCAAGGAATGTCAATTCCTTACCCGCCTTTGAAAATTTCATAAATGAATAATTTATCCCAAAACCTTGTAAGGACAAAGTTAAAAGTGTTTTATAAATTAAATGAGGTGGGATTAAATTTGTAGATCTGGCCGAAAACATTTATAGGGATTAAATAAAATTTCGTTTGGTAGTTTTTCTTTAAAGGAAACTATATACCATATTCATTGCATTTTTATCATTAATATTTAATACATAATATAATATTCTTTTTGCAAAAATTAATTAATTTCCCACTATAGTTTATTTTCTTTTCAATCATGTTCTTGCATTTTAAAAACTTATAACTTCAGTCTTTCTAGTTTAACACATCGGCACCATCCGTGCTGAAAATTTAAGAAAACCAGGAATCGGTCCCCAACTTGTTCAACGTGGCATTAACAAAGTTAGAAGATTGATGACATGGCACAGAACCAAATTAATACAGAAGGATTTCGGGCCATACCTAGGGGGGGAAAAAAACAATTTGCCGTTGTTAATTTAGTGATTTGTAGCGGTTTTAACTACTCTAAATGCCAATTGTAGTTGTTTGAGCAACTGCTAAAAAACCCATCTAAGTAAACGGTTTTGTAGTGGTTTATCCAAACTGTTGTGCGAGAAGTCTAACCATAATAGTATATTTTTTGCGGTTCCTTTTCTGCTAGTAATAACATCATGGATGAGATCACTTTGTGACATTTTGTAGCGGTTGGTAAACTGCTGCAAATGTAATGTAAGGTAGAAAATGAAATTTGAAAATTTGTCACAGTTTAGAAAACTACTACTAATAAATGATGCAAGATTTTCATTTGGCAAGAACCAAAAAATTCACAATGGCGTTAAAATTTATGGCTATTACAGAATCGCTACAAATTGCAAAATTTTGAAAAAACAAAATGGCGCCAAGAGGAATTTGTAGTGGTTATAAAAACCGTTGCAAATGTCCAAATTTAGGAAAAACAGCGCCACCTATGCTTTTTGGAGCGGTTAGAAAACCGCTACAAATGTTGAATTGATTTTTAAAAAAATTATTTTTGTTATTGGGTTTGTAATTAAATTTATAAGATAAAATATAACAATTAAATATGGTTTATATAATTGTGAGATGGAATTTCATTAAATTTCATGTTAGGAAAATTTTGTTAACATTTTAAATATCAAATGGAAAATACTTATTATAATATTTAGAATTTAAAATGTAAATTATAAAGTTAAAAAATTATTGAAATGTTATTTATGAACATAAGAAATGAATTAGAAAGAGTAGAATATAATAGTGAATAAGTCCTACATAAAAGAATAAAAAAGAAATATTATCAAAACTAAAATTAATAATGTAACAAAATAAAAATAAATTGATAAGGAAAAAGCTTATAATGAGAAGTGGAGAGGAGAGGAGGAGAGGATGGAGGAGAGGGGAGGAGGAGAGGAGAGGAGCATATGCGAGAAAAAATGAGAGCGGAGTAGGGGTATTTATAGCGGGTGGGTGTCATTCGTAGCAGTTGTGATGTAATTGTAGGGGTTTGCATTTTGTAGCGGTTCTACAAAGGGCGATGGTGAATTTTTTTTAAATTAATATAATTTAATTACAATTGTAAAAAAAATTATTTCGAATGAGCTATTGGAAATTTTATTCTTCATTACCTTGCCTGAAAGGAGATATATAAAGTTAAATAATTAGAAATAATTATAACATATATATGTTAAAATTAAAACATATACTACTTTCGGTACTAATTATAAGACCTCGTTTATAGTCTACAAATAAGGTCTTATAATTGTGATCAAAGGTAGTAGTTGTTAATTAATGTAACAAAAATAAACCAAAATTATATATAAAAGATAAATACCTAACAATTGCTAAATTGTCATCTCCTTTAGAGAAGAAATTTTCAAAATTCGTTGGTTTGAAGGGTTTACTGTCGCAAGTGATGTCTTCACCACCATCACGCATGTCATAAAGATATATCGTGGCTTCAAGTAGACCACCATAGTCCAATCTTTATGTTTCTCGTCCTCGAAATAATAAACCTAGTGTGCCTCAAAGGTGAGAATGTATGGCTCATGATCTTTAGATTCTCCCATATGAATGAGCCTGGAGAAATCAACAGATGTGATTTCCCCAACGCATTGGTAGTGAGTCCACATGAAGTTGTTATGTCCGCCCAACAACACTTAAAGAGAGTGACAGTGAAAAGTCCTTGATAATTTAACTCAATAATATTAAACAACTTTCCGCAGTAAGGAATGCCTCCAAATCGCATGTCACTGTCACTGGTACTAGCATAAGTCCTTATTCCAAACTTGCTAAAAACTCCAAAGTTTTATGTGAGCAAACCCTAGTCAAGTGCTATTGTATGGAATTTGAAGCCATTGACATTATATGTAGTAAACCTCCTAGCACCATTAAACAAACCATGCAAGATTTTTGAGTTTAGTTATGTGGGGGTTATTGTCATTACGTATTCAATGTATAAACCAACTCAGAAAATTCTCTGTGGACTTTCTTGTCAACATCAATGGATGTTTGTGAATGAACCTATAGCTGCCACTTGACATATGTTCTAAGATCCCTGTAAATATGATTAGGGTTATTTGTCAAAGAAGGCAATGATGAAGAAATTTTAAATGTAGAAAAGAAAATCAAAAGGGTTCAATTTAAGTACAATTTATCAAAACATGTCTGTGTGCTCGTAACTTCTCAGTAGGAGTCAATTTGAAGTATTCAAACACTCCAATTGGTTTTCTAACCGGAGGAAAGAAGTCGCTTGAATTAGAAGGACCTAGGGGACAATCATCAATGCATGGGGGGCAGTTGAAAGATGTCTCAATGTCATCAAAGTATCTAGAATAGAATGTAAAGACCCCATCTCTGGCATAACCTTCTGCTCTTGACCCTTTTAGCCACACCTTATTCCTGATATAGGATTTCAATTTTCCTAAATACCTGCATATTTAATTAATTAATAATTGTTTGTAATTATGATTAAAATTTGGAGAATGGAAAGAGATAATATAACACACTTCTCAATATGATACATTCATCAATATTAAATTGGTCCAGCAAGTTTTGCTTCTCAAATAAGATAGACGGTAAGATGAATCATAACAGTAAAGAAGGATAGAGGAAATATCATCTCCAAATGACAAAGTATCAAAATAATTTGCAGTTTCTCTAGCTCCCTGAATATCAAAACCTTCGCATATAACTTTTTAAACAATGAACACAGCTCCACCAAAAATATAGAGCATAAGGCGGGAGTGTGCTTCTGAGTACCAAAAAAGTAATTGTTGCATCAAAATATGCAAGTCATGACTCTTTAACCTAGTAACCTTTCAAGCTTATAGTTCAATACATCTTAAGATGTTATTGGAATATCCGTCAAGGACTTTTATTTTCTTCAGTATTGATAGGAAGATATCCTTGTTCTCCTTCGTCAAAGTGAATTTAGTTGGTTCAAACTTGTCATTATCAATTTGGCTCATAGAAAGATGCCCACCCAGATAAGCTCGATATCGGTTGAACAGATGTCATCTCAGCTTAATTAGTTGACCGTGGTTATTTAAAAGGGCTATGACATGTACATCTTGCACGTAATACATGTTCTTCATGTTCAACTTCCTTGTGGACTTATTGCCAGCTTAGTCTGCATAATTTAATTATAATTAAATAATATCAATAACAATTTATTATTATAAATATCAAATAACATATTTATCACTTGATATAATTAAAAATTTTAGTTAGCCACAACCTCCACCTCGAATCAGCCCAACCATCCACCAAGTTGACGCTGCTGATTTTACTATAGTTGCTGCTCTTCCTCTTCCTCTTTGCCCTATAGCTCGTCCTCCTCCTTATCCTCTATTCCGTCCTCATCCCCATCAAGGTTCAGATCAAAATGGTCATTAATAATATAATCTTCCACGCTAATCATCAGCTCGTCATCCTCCTCTGGTGGCTCCTCAGATAGCCTAGGCTGGTCAGGATGCCTATCGAGGGGGTCTGGTAGGATCAATAGGGTCGTTACCGTGTCGATGAGATATGCTGTTTAAACCATAAATAATTAATTAAACAAAATTAAAAATTAAAAATTAAAAATTGATCAAATATGAATTTAGTAAATTCTAAACATTTTATAGTTACATTTCAACCATAAGTAAAAATTGAAAAAAATTAAAACCAAATTCAATTTTTTGAAATTAAATAAAATACTAAAAAATGCAATTAAAATAATGTAACTCATAATGTTTAATTAAATTAATTTCTAAATAAACAAATTTTATTATTAAACAATTAAAAATAATATGCAAACTAAAAAAAAAGGCATTAACATATATAATCATCACAATTAATTAATT